ATAACCAACCGGGCATTTTGGTGACGGGAAGGTCTCGTCCACTGGAAGCAAGTGGTCCACCATGCTGGCCTGGCCGTGCCGGTGGCGGCTGCGGAGAGGAACAAGGAAGCCCAGTCAGGAAGGCGGCACACTCACCTGCCACCTCATGGGCCCGTGGCCCCCCTCTGCTGCCTGCCACAGCCTCCCACTGCCAGACGCCTGGGTCCTGCCTCCATCCTGTCCCATGGGAGGACTCTGTCTGCAAGAGTGTTTTCCGAAATTGCACCACCTGTTTGCAAAAGTGCTCTCCAGGCCCATTGCACAACCCGGCTAGTGTAGTTTCACAGATCTTCCAGAACAATTCTAGGAAGGAACACGCATGTGTCTATGAACCCCGGGGAGTGAGTGAGGAAGAGTGTGAGTGTGAGGAGACTCCCTGCACCCCAAACAGCCAGGGCGGGAATCCCGTCCACCTCAGCAGAGTTGCTGCCCTTCTGCGGACGACTAACCACAGCCTCGTTCCTGCAGGATTACTGGAGGGGGTAGGAGAATGGCCATTTGCCCTCTGACCCCATGTTGCTGCAGCCTGGGTAGGGTTGCCAGATTGACCAAATAAAAATAAAAGCCAACCAGTTAAGTTTGAAATTCAGATTTTTAAAAATTGAACAACTTTTAATATAAGTATATCCCAAGCATTGGATGGGGCATGCTCATATTAAAAAATCATTTTATCTGAGATTCAAATTTAACTGGGCAGTGCACATCCTAGTTTGTGGCAAAATTACAAGACCCATACGTGCCTGCCTTCACGGGCTGTTTCCCCATCTGAAAGGGGGCAGCCTGCCCACCCTCCAGTTCTCGGACCCCTCCAGTCTTGGCCACCTCCTCTGTGAAATAGGGGAGACAGAGAGGAGCCGTCACAAAATGCTCTCAACTGCGCCAGGCCTCTTATCGAGGCTTTGCCAGCGATTAACTTGCGGGAGCAGAGGGACCCAGGTCCCAGAGCACAGCTATTACCTCCTTGACTTCACAACTGCCTGGTGGGACGGACAGGGATCAGCGCCATGGCCGCACCCCAGGAGCGCGCACCACCTCAGGAAGGCCAGCTAACTCCTGTCTGCCGACTGGACCAGGGGCTCCTTGGGGGCACGCTGGGCTGTCAGGTCTTGGCTGTGTCCCCCGCTCCCGGTGAGGCCGCTGGTGCCCAGGAGGGGATCAGAGACCGCCAGCAGACATGAGAGGGAAAGCTGTGTCCTCTGAAGGCCATGCTAGGTCCCGTGTCCAGGGAGAGTCAACAGTGTCCGGCTGTGACATGGCCACCTCTGTGGACCTTTGTCCCCACCCAGTGACTACAGCGGTGTTTACTGAGGTTGAAGAAGGGGAATGTTCTGCACCTAAAGCCAGAGATTCTCTGCCGCATGGCATCACCTCTACATCCAGCCGCTTGCTCTGTCTAGAGCACTAATCCTGGCACCCAGCAATGCCCAGAGCCAGGCCATCATCAGCTGGGGCCTTGGGCGAGTCCTTGCTCCCAAACCTCAGTTTCCCCATCTGCTCCATGCTTCGACGACCCCAGCGGGAAGCTGCACAGAGCCCCAGGAAACTAGGGCAAGGTGGACGCCCTTGGCAAGTCTGTACCCAGGGCAGTTTTGCAGAAGAACGTTTGGCTTTTTGGTTTTAAATACTCAGCTAAGGACTTAAAACCGAGAGTTCTGAAATACACATTATTCACCAAACTGGATGCTGAAAAGGAATGAAAATGCCAGCTTGTGTGAAGAGCCCACTCTTGGCCTGAGACCTCCCCTCCCGTCGTCCACTCTCTTGAGTTCCTGCCTTTTCAACTTATCAGCTGTGTGACCTTGCGCAGGTGGCACAACCCCTCTGTGCCATGTCTCGGTGTGTTGGGAACTAGGCTGCCAACTGTGCCTAGTTCCCAGGGTGTTGTAAGATCACATTTCAGGGAATGAACTAACACACACACCAAGCACTCACTATAGAAGCCGTGCGCATGCAGGCGCCAGTCAGCTACAGCCTCTGGGTTAGCCTCAGTGGGCAAGTACTGCCCCTCTGCTGTGATGCTTAGGAATGTGGGGACTCCAGCCTTCCTGGAACCGGGAACAGGCCATGACTGGTGAGGGGCAGACTGGGCCATGTTCCTGCACTGAAATGTGATCACCAACTGAATATTCCATAATATTAAGGAATTACAATTTTTTAAAACGTGATGATGTATTGCAGTTAGTACATTCTAAGAAGGCCTTACCTTTTAGAGAAACAAAATGAGAAACTCACAGATTAAACAATATAAAAGAAACAGAAGCAGAAATAAGTAAGTACAATAGAAACCTCTAATAGATTCCAAAGGAAATGAGACCCAATCTCTTCCCACAGACCAGCACCTGGGCCCTGCCCATCTGCCCCAGACCTCAGCTCTACCTGCTCCATTCACACTGGCTGTGAACCAAGCTCACCGGCTTCATGGCTGCAAGCCACTGCCACTGTCCTCTCCGTGGACCCCTCTTCCCTAGCACTCTTGGAGGGAGTGCCTTATTTAGATCTCAGCTCAGAGGTCGTTCCCTGTGGGGCCTCCCCTGACCACCCTGTGTTACAGACCCAACAGTGCAGTCTTCCTAGCAGTTGTACTGCTGGACACTACCTTGGTTATGTGTTTGTGTACTTCATTTTCTGTCTGCCTCCCCACCAGAATATAAGCTGTCCTGACTGTTATCCCAGAGTCTGTAACGGGACCTGGCAGAACTTGCTGAGTGAAGGGGAAGGGATCAGGCATGGAACCGGCAGCAGAGCGCCTGGGCTGGGCAGCCGGGTCCTACAGCAGGGCTCAGCCGCCTGGGTGGAGGCAGGGCTACGAGAGTCCACAGGGGCTGTGGGGCGCTGGGCACCGGCCCTGAAGCACAGCAGCACGTGGCCCGGCCGGAGACGCAAGCTGCGTGCAGGGGGAGGGACACCCTGTTCCGGGCACCGTCCCCGGCAGCGGCCGGACTCCGCCCCTCCCCGGCCCGGCCAGGCCTGCTGTTTATCCTCCCGGGGACACAGCGGCTGCAGGAACAACATGTAATTGATAACAAGCCGAGCGCCGGCCAAGGGCCTTCCATTGGGTCAGCGTGCAAATCACGGGGGCGGCGGGCGGGGGCCGCCCTTCAAAATAAGAGTCCCGGCTCCTGCGCCGCCCGCAGGCCCCAAAGTCGTGAGCCCGCAGTCCTCGCACCTGTGGGGCGACGGGGCTCTCGAGGAGCCACCCGGCCCTTGGGGGAAAGTGACTTGAGGGTTTCAGG